TCGGATGGCTTTCGTATGCTTTTAATGCGTGTGTATGCTAGTGCATATGCTAGACAGCAGCCTGTCAATCTTTCCACAAGGGACTGATAAACATTCTGTGTGATTTTTGTTGGCACAGGAGTAGAGCAACAATGGGGTGACCCGTTTGCTAAGATTACATTATCATATTACCATATTACTTGCTTTCTGACATCTGGTTTCTATTTCTCTGTCATTTCTAACATCTTCCATGATCCCACTTCCTACATATTTAAATTCCTTAACTTGATTCAGACTAGAACCATTCAGCTGTATGTGTAGTGGACCAAGGGTTCTACTAACATGCATTGTTTCGGTTTTGTTTGCATTGATCTTCATGTTGTATTTACTGCATGCTGAGTTTAATCTGTTAATGGGGTCTTGCAGTCTGTCTTCTTCTCTGTAGAACAATCAGTAGTCATTAAATGTCATAACATTGATAAAAAAATGTATTTTTAAACAGTGGTAACGTAACAAGCCAGGAAAAGAACATTAGTAACCGTGTAAACAAGATGTCAGAGAAGGGCTGCAGAAGTGACCAGAAGAGATCACATCAGGTATGAGGTCGTAAGAGAACAAGTCGGCACAGAACCTTTTAAATTACACTCAAAGGCAGTATATAAACATGTCTGCCTACTTAGAGAGATCACTTTGCCACATATTACCATGCAAGCATGTATCTAGAGAGGAGAGGGACGTAGAGCAAAAGGTCACAAGATCACAACTGAAAAAGAACACCAGAGAAATTCTACAAGTAAAGCAAGAAAAAGAACCCTATAACTCCTTTAACATCCGAAGAGGTAAAAGAGGCGGTGAAGGAGAGGAAGATCGACACTCAAAGCAGTAGAACAGGGATGTTCAACTAAGTTTCCTCGGGGGTCAATATTTTGAAAATAGGGATCGTCCTTGGCGAGAGTCCCAGACCCCTGCATAAAGAGGTCATTATTACGATACAGTTAGCAATCATCCGCGGGCCACTTGCTAGACCTCCGAGGGCCGCAGGTTGAACAGCCCTGCAGTAAAGAAACAAAGGTGGCAGGACACATTACACAATATCAGCAGTAAAAGTCAGTATCTCCTACATTGGGATACATTGTCAAATGTGTCACCTAATCTGTATCTTCCCAGTAATGGGCCGTCATTGATAGCTGCAGACATTCATGGAGTGTTGTTGTCTCCAGCAAACACGCACCAACGGTTGTAACGTGTGTTCTCCACAGAACCAGATGAATGACGTGGATCGACTGATTCAGACCATCATCCCCAAGGTTCAAGCCATGGATGACCAGATCAAGTCCCTGTCACAGATGAAGAACTGGACACTGGAAAGGTCAAATGCGGTCAGGGGCGATGTCAATGTCTTCATGGACAAGTTTGTTGAGGCCGTAGAGTTGCACCGGAAGCAGTTGCTGGCACAGGTAAGAGAGACACACTTCAGAACCTTCCCACCTGTCTGTTCTCAACCGGCAGGACATATACTGTTATTTGTTCACATAATTTTTGTTGTTGTTCTTGTTCTTGTTCTTGTTCTTGTTGACACCTTTCCATCTCTCCAGACGATAGCGTTATATTATGCTATAAGGGCGCATGAGACTCACAGACCATGGCGATAGCGAGTGTGACTAGCGAGACCCACCCGCGCTAAAAAAAAAAAGTCTTCCACAATTAGAGCGTGATTTTTCAGGACCGTTGTTGTCAACATTTGTTCAGTCTGTTTCTTCACAGATGCTGAGCTTTCATCCTTTCCGCAGCCATTTCTTCCTTCATTCTCATTCGCTTCCTGATGTCCTCCCTCCACACAACACTGTCCATGGCATTTTGTTCTCTACGACTCCACCTCAATACCTGTATCATTTATGTCCCGCTTGCACACATCTTTTTATCGCGGTAGAGGTCGACCTCGACATCTTCTGCCTGTCTTTAATTCACCATAGTTCTTAGGGACTCTTCCATCCTTCATTCTCCAGGTGTGACCAAGCCGCCGGAGTCTTCGTAGACTAAGCATTGAGAAGCCTGCTGTAATGCCTGCTCTTTCTAGTACCTCAGTGTGTAATCTCATTTTGCCACCTTATGCCAAGTATTTTTTCTTAGGCATCGCACATGAAAGCTATTTAGCAGTATCTCCTGGAACAAATAATTTAACCAAATTTGACTGCCATAAACCAGAGTGGCGAGAACACAAGCATGGTTGACAGACAAGAGTTTTTGTTTTAATCGTGAGCTTTCTGTTCTCCCAAACTCTATCTGTTAATCTGTTCTTTGTTGTTGCTGCCTTACATATTCTGTTGTTGATTTCTTGGTAGTTTGTTATTCCCTCTCGATCCTAGAGAGGTAAAAGGGTCAACTGTCAATAGCTCTTCAGCATCGGTGTAGACTGCAGGCCATTAACATACACCAGGTCACTATATCGTAATGGGACAGGCCCTGGACAACGGTTATATAAATTTGATTAGGCTTAGAGCGCGTCAAACTCCTTGCAAAC